ATCATGAGCTGCCTGATGTTCAAGGATTTTGGGAGCAGCTCCTCGAGTCGGACCCACTCAGCAGCTCCAGCAGTGATTGGRAAGATTCCTCTTCCTTAAAAATCCMATCCTGGATGAGCTTTGGAAGCGTGGAGCCTGCGGGGAGGATCCCAAGGATTTTGGGTTAAATTGGTGCAAATTCTGGGAGTTTGGTGCTGCACTGGGAATCTCCCCCACCCCACTGCCAGCGCTGCCTGTTCCAATATTTCCATGAAAAATGAGAATTCCAATCGGGAGATTGGAATTGAGAATTCCAATCGGGAGAATTCCAATTCTTCATCTGGAGAAGAGAGGGACAAACAGCCCTTCCAAATCCCTCCTTCCCTGTGGGAGAAGCACAGGACCAGGAAAACAGATTTAGGGGAATCTCAGTCCCTTTATCCATGAGTTTTGCTGCTGGGAGAGGGAAGGGCTCATTCCTGGGATTTTCTGACTGGATTAAACCCCTTTTCCATGGGTTTTGTCAGAGTTTTGCCACTGGGAGAGGGAYTTTCCCACTGATTTAAACCATCTGAGGGTTCCATAACCCCTTTCCCAGGAAAGCTGGAGGAATCTTCACGTCAACTCCCTGAAATCGTTCCCACCCTAATTCCTCTTCCCAAAACAGCATTTTTAACCTAATTACAGTCATTAACAGCCTCCTCTRATTAATTATCCCCCAGGGACCTTCGGGGCTTCCCCTACCTTCTCGATGTTCAGCTTTTATCCCAATCCCTGATTTTGTTTGGCATTTCCCCACTAAATCTCTCAATCTGTGCCGCTCCTGTGATAAATCAGAGCCAGAGGAGAAAAAACTTCAGGAAAATCATGCAGGAAGTGAGCCCAGGTTGTTTTTGGGGGTCCTGAACCCGAAATTTCACACCCTGGGGTGAGAATGAAATGATCAGAAAAAACAGGAATAAAGAGAAAGGAGAGCCCATCTCCCATCTCCCAGCTCCAAGCAGCCTTGGGGAGTTCAGAGTTCTTTTCCCAGGGGATAAAAGGGTGGGGAATTGGGAGGATTTGGGATGGTGGAAGCTGTGAGACAGGATTTGGTATGGAGGGGGCTTCATTCCTGGCTCTGGGATTATTCCCTGCTCAAATCCACCCCACTCTGGAAATCAGAGCATTTCCTGGGCTTTGCTCCCTGATTTCCGACCTTCCCTGGGCTGCAGCTGCAGCAAGACCAGGGGGATAAATCCCARCTCTTTCCAGCCAGATCCCCCCAAAATCCCCACGTCCAGAGCTGGCTCCATGGCTGGTGTCCCATAAAACTCCCTCCCAAACCAGCTCTCAGGCTGGAAAAATGGGAATTATATCAGCTTTGCTCATCCTCCTGCCGGGCTGAGCGCTCTGGTTCCTTCAGGGAGCCCCTTCCAGGTGCATTTCCCACTCTGGAAGGAGTTAATGCAGGAATGACCTCCAGAATGACCCCAGGAGGGGCCGAGGAGCGCTGAGTCAGCAACAGAAAAATCCTGGAAAAGCAATTCTAGCGGGAGGTGTGTCCATGAAATGTGGTGAGAGAGGCCGAGCTGCTTCTGGGCTCATCACCAAGGCAGGGATGAGTCCTGGCTGAAAAAAAATTGTGGGGTTGGTCAGCCCAGAGGAGACACTGGGGGTGACCCAAGTGTGACCTTCCAGGACCTGAAGGAAACAGAGAGGGAATGTTCCCAAGGGGTGGAGGGACAGGACAGGACACAGGGAATGGTTTCGAGCTGCCGGAGAGTGGGGTTAGGTGGGAAATTGGGAAGGAATTCCTGGCTGGGAGGGTGGGGAGGGGCTGGGATGGAATTCCCAGAGCAGGTGTGGCTGTCCATGGATCCCTGGCAGTGCCCAAGGCCAGGCTGGACATTGGGACAGTGGGACATCCCTGCCCCGGGGGTTGGAACTGGATGGGATTCAGGTCCCTCCAGCCCAGACCATCCCATAATTCCATGGATTTTTGTTCCCTAACCCTTGCCCAG